TGTAGCACCCAACTTTATACCTTACAAAATCAAAGACTTTATGTGGTAGGTTCTTGGTTGATTATTACGGATATACATGGATTTGCAAAATTTGGCCCAATCCTCTTGGTATGCTGACATTTTTCAAGCTCGAATGAAGAATTAAGGCTTTATCGAGCTTCCACTACTATAAATAACGCTTTTAACCTCTCAGACGCGAAATGTGTTTTACATTGGTAAAGAAGCGAGGTAACCAATGTCGTCATAAAAAGTAAAGAATGATCACCTCAGTGTTTAAAACACCGAGGTATAATTTTATTAACACATGGGTTCGAACCCCAGCAACAGCAAATTTTATTATTTTCAAAACTAGCATATATTTTATCTCGATATATCAAAATAATCGAGAGGTATGATATTTTAAAACAATTGTTACATTGTTTACCCAGAATATTAAAATTAAACTAAAAATCAAATTCCCTAGAGATCTAAATAAAAATCAAATTCTCTCAAGATTTAGACTTTGGATCTTCGAATTATTGAATCTAGATGAAGATCAAATGTTGGGTGCAAGAATATTTTGTACGGATCTTGCATGTATTTGTTTCTGGTGAAAAAAAAGGGTAACATGATTAATATCAATAATAGAAAATATTTTCGGTACAAATAAAAATTTAATAAAACAAATCTTGAACCCACGTGATTTTCTGCTCTTGCAATACATCGCATAGAACTTTTCCAAGCGTCCTTAAGTTTCAAGCGCTTCATATGTTTAATTTAGGTTAGATTTCCAATATCGTGAAAGAACTTGTATAATGGATGTCCCTTAGATCTCACGCGGATCAATAATGACAGATTCTTGAGCGTTGATAACCTTAAAATGGATGGCAAAAATTTGTTTAAGGCCGTTGAAAATAGTGAAAAATAACACTTAACTATCCTCTTGGTTTTGGAATAAAACCGAGGGATTAGATTAATTTTTGTTTTTACAAAAATGATTATATTATTTACCCAGAATATTAAAATATATTATATGCAATAAATCTTCGTAGAATATCAAGATTGTTTACCCAGAATATTAAAAATACAATATATCCTTATCTCATACAAGATGCTAGAGATATGTTTCCCCATAAGAATTTTTATTTTTCGCTGATATCCATCTTCTGAAAATTTAAGCTCCCATCTCTGTTTAATCTTTCAAAGGTTGAGCTCCCTTCTTTGTGTAACTTGAAGAAATAATGATTTTCTGTACTTGTAATCTATCAAATGAGCAAAGATACAACAACATTTCTCAAAAAAAAATCCAACAACATGTTGAGAGATAGATTCAAGGGCAGAAAAAATATTTTGTTCTAGATAGAAGAATATTGAAGATTTTTTTTGTCTTGCGATCTATCCTAAATAATAATGCGAGTTTGTGGCGGCTTCATATTAGCACAAATTATGGTAAAATCTAACGATTTCTTTTATAGTAAAATTTGACTATTATACCTCTCGGTTTATTTATAAAATCGAGGTAACGTTATTATTATTATTATTATTATTATTATTATTATTATTATTATTTTAACTATCATTTTGGTTAAGGTTAAAAACTGAGGTGATAGTTATTATTATAATTTTTTAATATTACATTATCTACACATAATGTTAAAATAAATTGTTTATAGCAAATCTCTTCAATGGTTTTCATGCACTTGCAATCCATCATAAATGTGTTGATGCTTGAATGTCAGAACTTTACATCCAAGATTGAATATTGATGCTATCGTTATACTCATGTGTTATACTCATGTGTTATATGCATGCTTTGAATGCATCCAACTTCTAATAAGATGTTTATTCAAAAAATTTAAAAACATTTTTCTTGCACTTGCAATCCATCAGTAAAGACTTTTAGGAATAAATCATAGTTATTCAAAACCTTCAATAACAACAACATAAACACCATTGTTTGAGATGGATTGCAAAATCTGGAAAAAAAATATTTTCTTGAAGGTAGAAGAACATTTTTTTCAGTATTGCAATCCATAAAAAAAAATGATGCATTCGACGGTGGGACGACTATAAATAAGATAACATTAGGGTAAAATATGTCCAACTAGTGTTTTTATAGTAAAATCTGATTAATTTATCCTTCGGGTTGTCAAAGAAACCGAATGGTTAGATCATTTATTTTACACTTGTAAACAAATAAAAATATAAAGTGTATTAGTTGAGATTCGAAGCATGTCCAGAATTATTTCAAAAACCGAGGGAACACGTTATTTTTAAAAAATAAAATATAGCGCGCCTTAGAATAAAACCTGAGTTTCTTTCTAGATTACGTGAAAGCTTCGTCATGAAAAGTGTTATTTGTTGTAGTGTTCGTAGAGGATCTAAGTCCTACAAATTCTTCCTCATATGATTTGCAAATTAATTTCCATGCTATTGTACAAATCTTTCTAATCAATATGTCCTCACTCTAAATAAAATTTCTAAACCAAGTACATAATTGAGCTATAACCTTTATTGGCCATATGTAAATTTGAAAATAATAAACCAGCATACCGTGTATGATTGATTTTATCAATTGAAATTTTCCCATTATAGATAGTAGAACCCCCTTCCAAGTTGCTAGTGTGGTTTTTATGTTATGAATTATTTGTTGGAAGTGAATCTCTTTGACTTCCCTTTGAATATTAGACAACTGAGGTAAGCGAAAGGAATTTGGTCCTAATTGAAACCTAATCAGATACAGGTACTAACTACCATTTAGGTGGTCATAGCACTTGAGTAAAACTTACTCTTGTCTTTATTATTATTTGACCCGAAGCTTCCCCATACTTTTTAAAATTTTAAGCACCCTCTTTACAAATCCTTTGGTCCCTTGACAAAAGACCATAATATCATCTGCGCATAACACATGAGTGGCCCTCCGCATAATAGGGATAACTAAAATGGGAAGGACCATACCTTATATACCAGAAGCTCTCAGACAGAGCATACAAGTTGCATGAACTCGAGGGGTCACTTTTGCCCAGAACATGGAGTGCTCTTCATCTTAGATATTATAATAGTTAAAATTATTTGCAATTCTCCATTAACATCATGTTTGGGTACCTCTATAATTATTAAATAACTTATTCTCGACAAGGATATTCTTTCCTAAAAATATTATATGCTGGAGTTCATAGCGAAGACTCCTTCCGACCCTCGAGGAAATATTTCTTATACTGAACTTAATAGCGAAGATCATTAATGCCCATCAGGGTAACATTTCTTATGCTGGACTTTATAGTGAAGGTCTTTTCCGCCCCTCAGGACAACATTTTCTATGTTGGACTTCATAGCGAAGATTCTTGCCGTCTTTTTGGGCAATGCAAATATGTTGGACTTCATATTAAGGATTCTTCTTGTCCCTCAAGGAAATACAAGTAAGCTACCTGGCTTCTCACTTGAGGGATTTAGTGTCTCCTTGGGAAGAACAAATTTCAAGGGTCACACCTAAGAAGCACGACAAATATCTAGCCTGAGAGACTTGATTACAAGCCTTGCCTGAGGGTTTGATAGAGTCCCATACAAGTAGGTAAAATGCCTCGCCTGTGGGGTTGGTAGTCTCATCAACTGGGCTATACACAATTTCTTCTAGAAGACTTAAATTCTCTAGGTTAAATTAAATCCCCGCCTGAGGGACTCTGTGTCTCCTCAGGAGGGACAAAAATCAAGGGTCATGTCTAAGAGGCGCGACAGATATCCAACCTGAGAGACTTGATAACAAGCCTTTCCTGAGGGATTGATAGAAGTCCCGACCAAATAGGTAAAATGCCTCGCCTGAGGGACTAGTAGTCTCGTCATTCGGGCTATTCCCACCTCTGCTTAAGGAACTCAGATTCCCCTGAGCAGGTTAGATAAAGACCTCAAATGGGAAAGCCTCTAGTTCTCAGAATACTCCCATCAATTGTGAGTGGAAAGACACTTCGTCTTCTACCAAAGGCCTTGTGCCTAAGGGATATATAGTGTTATATTTGCAAAAGGTCTCGCCTAGGACGATGCCCTTGCACCATCATAGGAGAGGCGACGACGAAAGGTCACCCGAAGGAAGGTATTATCTCGCCCTGAAGTCTTCCCTCGCCCCTACGTGAGAAATGCGTGATAAAATGTTTTTGGGATAGAGATAAAGTTAAAGTTATTAATTGACCCACAACTCATTTGAAAATAGAGATTCAACTGTCCACTATTGACTAACTGAGTGGTGTCCCTTTTTTGAGAAAATTCTAGCTCCTAGAGACCTATATAAACACACCTCCTCTTAAGGAGAGGGACATAACCCTAGTAATAAACACTCTTAACACTTTAAATAACACAATGCTCATTATTGTCTTAACACACGGCAACCGATGATTATATGTTTGCTACTAAGCATCACTAATCATCAACATAGCCTGTCACCTCACGTGAGCAGATCTCTTAAATAGTCTCAAAACATCACCGTACAAGTTTCTCACCGTCGTGGGCACGCCCTTACCACTAAAACGTGTTATAAACCTACTAAGACATATGAATCTCCCTGCCCTTGCATAAGGAACATGCACACCTATATTTTTTGACGCGTGCTATATACAAAATAATTGGCTAGATATGATTCATACAGAATACTATATATATATATATATATATATATATATATATATATATATATATATATATATATATATATATATATATATATATATATATATATATATATATATATATATATATATATATATATATATATATTAATTCATGAAATAAGTTTTTTTAATTAATTAACCAATGACAAATTTTTTTCTTATTTACGATATATAGTGTATATTCTCAATAATATTGTTCGGATTTCCTATAAAAACATTGTACACTATTATCTAAGTACATTTTACTTCACATTAAATTTGTTTTGTTTCTACATGCGATGTTTCCCTATCAGGATACTTATTACTAGTTATTTATATATCAGTCGTTTTCTGCAGTTGAAGTGAGTGAGTGAGAGAGAGAGGATGGGAAGAGGGAAGGTTGTTCTTGAGAGAATCCAGAACAAGATCAATCGACAAGTTACATTCTCAAAGAGAAGAAGTGGTTTGCTCAAGAAAGCCTTCGAACTTTCTGTGCTTTGTGATGCTGAAGTTGCTCTCATCATCTTCTCAGGCCTTGGCAAGCTTTTTCAATACAGTTCCACTGAGTTAGTCATCTTCTTCTGTATCTATCTAGTTATTATATTCACACACTTTTTTGTTTTTTTAAACTAAATACTCCTTCTGAGATTTTTTTTCCATGGATATTGATTTTCTTCATCATATTATTTATTGATATTCTAATCAGCTTGAACAAAATCATTGAGAAGTATCGTCAATGTTGCTTCAACAATATGTCTGAGAATGGTGACTTGGAAGAACATGAGTCACAGGTAATTCCTCTTCTTTTTCTCATCTTAACAAGCTTGATTATGATGATCTCTGTAGCACCGACACTTCAGAAAAATATGTGTCTTTGTCCAAAACCGATGAGTTAGCGTTGATGTCGTGTTTCTAGTATCCGTGATTCATGGATGATCATTGCAGGGCTTATACGAGGAGCTTTTGATGTTAAGAGTTAAGCATGAATCTCTTGCCCAGACTCAAAGGTATATATTAATTCCTATCAAACAATTTTTCGTAAGTTTATAGCTGGAATTTAAACTAGTTTATATGTTTTGATGTTTTTGTTTTAAAGGAATTTTTTGGGAGAAGAAATCAGTGCACTAAGCATAAAAGATTTGCAGAGTATAGAAAAACAACTAGAGAGAACGCTTGCACAAGCTCGAAAGCACCAAGTAAATTTTAATTTTTTTTTTACTACATTCTCATTCAACTTCATAAACTCATATTGAAAATTGAATTTATCTTGCCTTTTAATTGCAGATGCAGAAACTGATGGCTCGAGTTAATGAATTACGCCAAGAGGTATACAATTATAGAATTATATATGGATTTCAACTTTCACCTCTGTAATCAGATGTCTCTGTACAGCTATCAACTGAGTTGATTTAACTCGTTTTCGTGTCACAACTCTTCTTGTTGTTTATATATTGGCAGGTGCACAATGTGGAGGAGGTTAACAAACAATTAGAATCCAAGGTATATATCAACATAGTTGACGGAATGCTCTATTTAAGATTCGAGTCCCTTTATTTTATATGACCCTTTTATCAATTTGTATGCAATTAACTAATTTCTAAACTGTTACACCAGGAAAGAGGTTTAAGTTCCAATATTTGTGACAATTCTACTGATTTATGCATCTCCAACAACAATATCATTACCAATTTGCGTGATGCACAGGTCAATGAGTTTCAATATGGGTGTGTATTTTTTCCATCTTTCACATAAATCTGCAAACTTGTTTCACCGATACTTATAATAGTTGACATGTTTGGTTTTCAATATGTGTTGGTGTCTATACCAACATAATGTAATTTTTTAATTATTATTGATGTCAACGTATATATATCTTATCTTATCTGATTTCTATGTCTATATCTATAACTGTGTTGGTGTTTGAAAATGTGCGAACATATGATGAACATACAAAAACTTTGATTAAATGTATACACACATTATGCTACAGTCAGTTTCGGCACCAACATACTGCTTCAAAAGGACAAACAACAGATACAAGGATTGGCAGAGGCCAAAGCAGCCGCAACAAGAACAATTGATGGATGAATATTTGAATTTTCATTTACCTAAGGTTTGAGATTCCTCAAATATGTGTCAAATAATCACTAATTGATGAGAGCCTATTTGGTTTAATTTATAATAGGGACTTTTTTCTTTTTTTCTGCATGACAATGTGGCTTCAATTGCATTATGTATATGTAGCTAGCCAGGTAATCCAATGTAATAATTGGTTGTATATGTTGGAAATCCACCAAAATTTATGATGAACTTCTCACAATCTTAATGAATAAGATTGTTATCATCACACAATAACAATGAAAGAATAAAAGAAAGAAAGAAGAGAATGACTTTTCTGCAGAGTTTCTCTCTGTCCATAAACTGTGGAAAACTCTGTTATTCACTTGCAACTACAAATTATGTGAATACAACATGATTGACTTGATTACAAAAATAGGGGATTACTCTATCTATTTATAATTTTAGGTTAGCTTGCTCCCTAAGCCAAAAACTCAAAACTATAAAGTCCAAAATACCTATTTTGGAACTAAATAAAAAATTTATTCTATTTTAGATCTAAATCAAATTTATCTAAATCTAAAACAAATATGTGTGTAACAAACTGTTTCCACACTTCTAAATCAAATCAAATCTTTTCGACATTTCTTTGTCTCTGTCGAGCAAACAGCTTCGACACAAGAAATTACTTTCAACACACCACCTAATTCATTGTGTCTAAGCTATCTACATTCATCATAACACTTATTCTTTGAAATAGTTTGACCTGCACACTCTTTTTCATGATGTCTACAATCTGATTCTCAGTTCTGTAGTGTTCCAAGTTCATCTTCCCATCTGTTACCTGCTCTCGAAGATAGTGGAACCTCATTTCCATGTGCTTGCTTCGACAATGATGTTAGAACATAGTTTGATTCTACAACCCTTAATTAGAGTTTTGATGATAACAAAATACAAAGAATAAATAAATTGTAAGATTTATATATAAGACAAATATGCTTCTTAAAATTATGTTTTGTAAATACAGAAGTTCTGATGGAATCAGCATCAGCATCAGAAGCATCAGAAGATCAGTAACATGTGCTACACGCTGAAGCTACCAGATCATACGCTGAAGCTTGATGACCAGAATCTGCGCATAATCATATACACTCTGACTCTGATCAAAGATCTTTTCCAAGTCATCAGCACTCTGAAGCGTTATCACAAGTTAAAGCAAAGAACACTCTGAAGCGTTATCATAAGCAATGAAGACTCTGAAGCGTTATTAAGTATTCAAGACAAAATTAAATGCTAAACGGCTTTATTCAGACAAGATCTTCTCAAAAAGGAAAGTGCGTTATTATCAATAAAAGTGTTTTATGGACAACGTATCTCTGCATTGGCTATATAAACAAGTCTGCTTGAGAAAAGACGCACGCATGCACTCACATAATTTGCCAAGCTTTCAAAACCACGCTTACTCAAACGCTTTAGCAAATTTAGTTTTATTCCAAGCTTAAATTGTGTAATTATCATAGTTCTGATATATTGTTTTATTAGAAAACGTTAACACATCATTGTTCAAATTACTTGTAAAAGATTTCCTTGAGATAAACCGGTTTGTGGTTATACTCAAGAAGGCTTTAACAGTTGTTAAAGTAGCTGTTGTAATCCTTTGAATATAGTGGATTAAGACCTCGTTGGAGAGAGGCGAAATCACCTTGACGGGTGGACTGGAGTACTTTCAGATCAAACAAACCAGGATAAAAATACTGTGTTGTCTAAGCATTTGTTTTAAGTTTTACAATTCAACCCCCCTTCTTGTGTTTTTCACATCTTCAATTGGCATCAGAGCGCCTGGTTCTGAGCTTATAACACTTAACCGTGTCAGTACAAGATCCAGCGTCAGAAAAACACAATGGCAGGACCAAATCAAAACATCAGCAATGACAACAATGAAGAAAGAGACAAATTCAGTGGCAAACCTCCAGTCTTTGATGGAGAGAACTTTGACTACTGGAAAGACAGAATTGAGAGTTTCTTTCTGGCCCATGATGCTGATCTGTGGGACATGGTGACTGATGGATACACGCACCCAGTGGATGGAAGTGGTCAGAAGATTGACAGGAAAACGATGTCTGATCAACAAAAGCATGAGTTCAGAAATCATCACAAGGCCAGAACAATTCTTCTCAGCGCCATCTCTTATTCAGAGTATGAGAAGATATCAAACAGAGACACTACAAAGAATATGTTTGACTCTCTGAGAATGACGCATGAAGGCAAAATTCAAGTCAAAGAAATCAAAGCCCTTGCACTCATTCAGAAGTATGAGGCATTCGAGATGGAAGAGAGTGAATCAATAGAAACTATGTTTTCAAGATTTCAAATTCTTGTTGCTGGTCTAAAAGTTCTTGACAAAGGGTATTCTACTGCTGATCACGTTAAGAAGATCATCAGAAGCTTTCCAAAACAATGGAGGCCAATGGTCACAACGCTTAAGCTAGCAAAGGATCTCAACAAAATCTCTCTGGAGGAACTTGTTAGCTCCCTCAGAAGTCACGAGATAGAGCTAGAAGCAGATGAACCTCAGAAGCAAGGTAAGCCATTAGCTTTAAAATCTAACAGAAAATCTGACTCCAAAGTTTTGCAGGCTGTAGAAGAAACCTCTGATGAGTCCTCATCATAAGAAGATGAACTGTATCTCCTATCCAGAAGGGTGAACCAATTGTGGAAGCAGAGGCAAAGGAAGTTCAGGAATCCCAGAAGATCAGAAAATCAGAATGAATCTTTCTCCATATACAGAAGGTCAGAATCCTCCTCTGGACACAGAAGATCTGAAGGCTCTTCAGGAAACAGAAAACCAAACAACAAAGACATCATCTGCTATGAATGTAACGAGCAAGGGCACTACAAAAGTGATTGCCCAAAGCTTCAGAAGGAAAAGCCCAAAAAGAAGTTTGGCAAGGAAAATAAGAAAAGTCTCATGGCTACATGGGATGATTCTGACACATCTGAAGTTGACTCAGAATCAGATGATGAAAGAGCAAACATAGCTCTCATGGAAAACATAACAGAAGACAGTGAAGCTTCTAAGTCAGAATCTAAATCAGATACAGAAGAGGTATTCCCTGACTTTACTATGAACTTTACTAAGGTTGAACTAGCTGAAAGCCTTAATGAAATTCTGGAAAGATATCAGCAGATCAGAGTCAAATTCAGAAACCTGAAAAGGAATATTGCTTCTGACTCTGATAAGACTGAGAGTCTCAAATTGGAGAATTCTGAGTTAAAAGATAAAATCTCAAAATTAGAAAATCAATTGCAAAACTCTCAGAAGGAAACCAACCCTGAAACTCCCAGCAATGCTGATGAGATCATCAAGGAGTATGATCACAGCTTTCAGAAGTTTCTAGCTAAAAACATAGACAGAAGCAAAATGGCTTCAATGATCTATGGAGTTAGTAGAAATGGCAGAAAAGGGATAGGATATCAAGGTAAGGTACCTACACCAAAAAATGCCATGGATTTAGTTATAAAACGTACTCCACTTGATTCACACTTTATATATGGGCACACACATGACATAAAATATACAAGTAGTGATTACTCTGTCAAACCAAAATTCAACCAGAGTTTTGGCAAAACTAACAAATCAGGACCCAAGAAAATGTGGGTACCTAAGGATAAAATAATACATGTGGCAGATATCTTTAGCAGCAAAGCAAAAACACCAATCATGGTACCTGGACTTTGGCTGCTCACGACACATGACGGGAAGAAGACATATGTTCCAAAGCCTGGAACTTAAGCCTGGAGGCCACGTAGGTTTTGGAGGCAATCAGAGAGGAAAGATCATTGGCTCTGGAACAGTAGGTAATGGAAATCTTCCCTCTATAAGTAATGTTTTACTAGTTGATGGATTAATGCATAATCTGTTATCCATAAGTCAATTAAGTGATAACGGTTATGATATAATCTTCAATCAAAATTCATGCAAAGCTGTTAGTCAGAAAGATGGGACTATCCTATTTAATGGAAAGGGGAAAAATAACATTTATAAAATAAAACTTTCTGAACTAAAAAGTCAGAATATAAAATGTCTTATGTCTGTTAACAACGAGCAATGGATCTGGCACAGAAGATTGGGACATGTTAGTATGAGAAGAATATCTCAGATTAACAAACTCAATCTGGTCAGAGGACTTCCTAACCTGAAGTTCAATTCAGATGCTCTGTGTGAAGCATGTCAGAAAGGCAAGTTTGCAAAACCAACTTTCAAATCCAAAAACGTCTCCACCTCCAAGCCATTAGAACTTCTGCACATTGACTTATTTGGACCAGTTAAAACTGCGTCTGTCAGTGGCAAGAAGTATGGGTTAGTAATCGTAGATGACTATAACAGATGGACATGGGTAAAGTTCTTAAGGCACAAGGACGAGTCACACTCTGTGTTTGTTACCTTCTGCAACCAAGTTCAGAATGAAAAGGATCTTAGAATCGTCAAAGTCAGAAGTGATCATGGTGGAGAATTTGAAAACAAAGATTTTGAGTTATTCTTTAATGATAAAGGCATTCTGCATGATTTCTCTTGTCCTAGAACTCCCCAGCAAAATGGAGTTGTAGAACGAAAGAACAGAACATTGCAAGAAATGGCCAGAACCATGATCAACGAGACTAACATTGCTAAGATCTTCTGGGCAGAGGCAATAAACACAGCGTGTTACATTTAGAATAGAATCTCCATAAGACCTATTCTGGAAAAGACTCCATATGAATTGTGGAAGAACAGAAAGCCTAACATTTCCTACTTTCACCCATTTGGATGTACATGTTTTATTCTGAATACAAAAAATTATTTGAACAAGTTTGACTCTAAAGCACAAAAGTGTATTATGTTAGGATATTTTGAACGCTCAAGAGTGTACAGAGTATACAATACAGAAACACAGATTGTGGAAGAGTCAATCAGTGTTCTTTTTGATGATAAGCTTGACTCTCAAAAGTCAAAGTAGAATGAATTCCTTGCAGGTATGGAAGT